CACCACAGGCCCGCGGTGCGGCCGGGGAGGCCCAGGGGCACCTGGGGTTTGCTCTCTGGCAAAATTAAGTGTGAACCCCCCCCTCGCACTCAGTCCTTTCCAACATGGAGACCAAGAGGGCGCTGGTTTTCAGAAACACATGCAAACTGTGCCCACGCAGGCACCGGCTCCCGCGTCTGCTGCTCTGCATGGAGACAAGCTCTGCGAGCTCCAGACAGGCTGCTGGCCGCGCCCACCCCGAGTGCAGGGGACACCCCAGGCAGGGACGGACTCTCATCTCAGTGGGGAGCACCCCTAGCGAGACTCAGACAGGATCCCCGAGGACAAATGGCCCGCCCGCGCACGGGCAATGCTAACACCACGGACACAGAGGACGGAGACTCGTTCCCACGAACATACACAGTCAGACACGAGGCGACAGAGACGGGACAGGCCACAGGGCACGGGGAACAGCAGCACGACATGGAAAAACAAGGAAATTAGACCTCGGCGTTCTCCAGTTCATCAATGGAAATGAGCTGGAAGAGAGAAGAGGGAGAGAAAAGGAGGAAACGTTAGGACAGGCGGCGTCAGCGAGGGCGTGAGACCGCCGCCAGCGGGTCTTAGCGCTGCTGCACAGAGTGAAGCCGTGTCAGAGGGCACCCTGGGCTCCACCGCACCTCCCAGGAGGCTGTCCCCGCGGCAGGCAGCAACCCTCGGTCACGTGACCGGGGGCCCGGAACCCGCCTTTCCAGGTCTGCGTGGACGTGGCACTGCCCATCGCCGAGGGCAAGGGCTCTGTCCCCGCCGAGACCCACGGGCTGGGGGAAGAGGGCGGGAAAGAGCAGGGAGAAGGTGGGGGTCAGACCCACTCAGCTCAGGAGGGAAGGCTTTCTTCCCACTCATTTGCCATCCCGGACGGGGGGCTGCGGTCCTGACCCAGTTGGGGTGAATCTGGATTGGCTTCCACTTCGCCAAGCAACAGACCCACACGGTTGAGCCTCGCACAAGGTGGGTTCGAGCGGAGGCAAATGGGCATGTGCGTGGGCCCTCGCAGCTCAAGCCCGCGTTGTTCAAGGGGGGGCTGTACGCCCCAAGCCCAGACTCTCTAAATCCCGGGGCTGCTCCTAATTCAAGAAAACACTCGGCCGGAGGCGGTGCGTGCCAACTCGAGCGATATTGGTAACCATCCATTGGCATCGAGTCCGAGAAAGACCAAGAGCTGGTCACACACTGCCTGTTGCAGGACTGAGGGAGGACCTGAGGGATTATTATTAGGCTGCGCTAACATTTAGCAAATTTAGCTGCTGCTGAAATCATGGCGCCTGGAAATGCTCACACATGCGTGCCTTCTTCAGAGAGAAAAGCAGCGGGTGGCGGCCAGGGGCTGACGGTCTGCGTGAAAGGCAAACCCCAATGTTACCCGAGGTCACGGCTCTGCAGTAATGAAATCGCTACCCCCGCTCAGAGGGAACCTGGGGCTTAAATCAACCCCCAGAGATCCTTTTACATTCACCCTTGGCCTCCGAGTTTCTTTCCAAAACTCTGCCCAGTAACTTAACAGCAGCTTAATGAACGCCCTGCAGCCGCCTGGGAGGAGCCAGCACACAGGGCAGCCACGCCCCTTCCCTGCAGGGTCGGGGCTTGAGGATCCCCTAGGAGTCAGGGACCGCGTCTGAGTCTACGTCAGAGACGTGTGGCTGTGGGATGTTGTGTGTGCGCGTGTTTTTAAATATGTTTTTATCGACTTTGTTTTTAGAGACTCATACAGGTTCCTAGAAGGTCCTTCGCTGCAGTCCCCAACGTCCCTACGGTATTTCCACTTTCATGGGAGGGATGCACGAGACTGGACAGAGCTGTCACCTGCCTCCAGCCTCTCTACCTGGTGGCCGGATTCCTCCTCCTGCTGGCAGAGGCCTGAGCGGGTGCCTCCTGAGCTCTCCGGGATCCCGACTCTCATGGGCGCTCCCTCCCCTCCCCCTCACGCCCCGGAGGGCACCCTCGGGAGCTCTGTAACAGGAGGGCCGCAGCCCCTCAGGGCCCCATGCCCACGTGCTCCCAGGGGGCACCAGCGGGCAGGGAACAGCAGCGAGGAGTGAACCCTCCACGTGGCCCAGGGACCCTGGCGGATTCGCCCGCCAGCCACAGGCTCCCCAGCTCCCCACGCCTCTCCCTCCAGGGGACAAGGAAGCTTAACGCCAACTGGAGCAGCCTCGGGAGCTGGGACACCCGCTTACTCTAAGGACCTTGGTCACAAAAGGAGCAGATATTCTAGAGAAAACTGTGGTCTCCACTGGATTTTTAAAATCCAGTTTTATGCCCCAAACGTGCAAGTATATTCACAGCTCGTTTAGGCTCCTCAGTGGACTCCGCTGTGTGATGGAGAGTGAATCTGTGCCACTAGAATCATACTCTACAAACAGTTTTAAAGCCTCTTTAAGAAAAAGAAAGCCCTGGTGGAATAGGTGGCTCCTCGTTCCTGCCTGGGGCACCCCGGCTGTCACCCCCGCTCCAGGCCTCTCCTCCTCCTTCCGGCTTGGCACTGCTCTTTGCGTCTATTCTGCGCATTTATTAACGCTTTCCTGGCTGGCTTCTCCCCAAACTCCCACGGAGCTCAGATACTGATGTCCTAGTCAGTCAGCATCACTCCTCTTCTAATGGACACACTTCAAACGTGGTGACAGCGAAGGGCCTCGTGGTCTGGGGCGGTGGAGGAAGGAGCAGAGGAAGGGGCGCTGCTGTTCAGTTTTATTTCTTCTTCAAAGGCTCCCGCGGTAACGACAGGGGACTGACCGCCAGGTGAGACAGCCAGACGCCTGCAGCCTGTGCTGCTCGCCCCACCTGGCTGTCACCAGGGGACAGTTCCTGAACGTCATCACCTTTGAATGAAAACTGCTGTCATCTCAACGCAGGCCCAGGCCTGGGGAGAGGGGTGACGGGAACGTTTTCCACACACTCTCACTCCCTGCACAGCCTCTCCCCGCACACCCTCGCTCCCCGCACACCCTCTCGCACAACCTCTCCCTGCACACCCTCTCCCCGCACACCCTCGCTCACCGCACACCCTCGCTCCCGTGCACACTGTCACATCCCAGGCCTGCCTGTGTCACCACCTCCAGTAGAAACAGTGACACGTTTGCCTGCCTGGGTTCCAGGCAGAACTGGGGGAGTTCGTTAACGCTCGGGAGGACCGTGCAACATCCCGGCAGGAGGCAGGTGAGCACAGGCATGCTCAGAGCAGAGCCCCCAGCCAGCACCTCACCTCCTGAGGCAGAAACGACATTGGCATCCGAACTGGGAATGTAAACGATGGGAAATCTCATTACTCTTTCTCGACAACAACTTATGTGACCAGCAGCCTCTGAGCGAGAACTAATTTTTCTGCTTTGAAAGGAGTCAGTCTCGTCTTTCAGCTGCTCCAGGGGCCGGAGACGAGGCTTTAAAAACAGTGAACCTCTCGGTCACGTCACCGCGCCTGAACGGGGGCGGCTTTCTAACCCTCCACCTGGGTTTCCCAGCGACGCCTGGCTCTGAGGTGGGACGCGAGGCGGTACCTTCTCGCCGTAGCCGCGGTCCTTGGTCATCATCTCCCGCAGCGTCTGCAGGACCTTAATGCACAGCTTCTCCTCGTTCTCCTCCAGCAGCTGTTTGGTGTGTTTTATCAGCCTGAGGGAGGGGGGAGCCACACGTTACATCCCTGCAAGGACCTTCCAGTAACAAAACACAGTTCCCAGCCACTTACGGGACTCCTCAGTTCATGAGCAAACATTGGTCAAGGGCTCCCTGCGAACAGTCAGCGACGGTGTCTCAATGGCGCCACCTGCTGGTCGGTGACAGCAAACACACGCTACCCCGCTGAGACTGACCTCGCAGAGAAAGGAGGAGCGGTCCCCCCATCTGCTGCTTATCCACTGAGGGTTGCCAGTCACGTGGCTAAAATACGCCGGCAGAGCCCAAGACCTCATGACGACAATGGCTGGGCCAGCACACGCTGTCCCCTTGTCCTTGGGAAGACTCAGAAAGGCAAACTCCAGGACCCATCCCATGGTCAAGTTCAGCAAACGGTCTGGCCTGGGACAGCTCTTTGTCTTTGCTGTTGCCCCACAGCACAAACAAAGAAACTACAAAGTTTTAGGAAGGCTGTGAGGCCCCACAGGGCTGGAGAGTTTCGAGGGCAGGAGGGGGGAGACCTTTTTCGGTCCATGTTGCAGCCCACAGGGGGCGCTGTCAGTCCTTGCTGAGTGGAAGACGCATGAACGGGGCGTGCAGTTAGAAGGAGGCATTCTCACCCTGGCCGCTTTGGCTCAGGGGATAGAACGTCGGCCCACGAACTGAAGGGTCCTGGGTTCGATTCCGGTCAAGGGCACGTACCTCAATTGCAGGCGTGTGGGAGGTAACCCATCAGTGTGTCTCTCTCATATCGATGTTTCTCTCTCTCTGTCTCTCCCTCTCCTTTCCACTCTAAAAATCAAAATCAATGGAAAAATATCCTCTGGTGAGGATTACCAAAGGGAGACATTCTTGCCCAAACCACAGTGAACCCACACACTGGGACGGTGGGGCAGGACCGTGACCTTGCGCTCAGCAAAGCTGAAAACCAGGCCAGCATTTCCTTCCTCGGGAGCCACTGCTGGGTCTGGTCCCCGGTCCCCGGGCCCCGAGACTGACCCCTGACCCCCGGGGAGGGCCGCTCACTTGCAGATGAAGCCCCCGCTCTCGCACTTCCTCCGGGCGTCCGTGTTCTCCGGGAAGAGCAGCTCCGGCCGGTGCAGCACGTCCACCAGCACCGACAGCTCGGCCTGCACCAGCGGCCGCAGCCGGTCCTCCAGCGCCGAGACGATGTCCTGGGAGGGAGCAGCGGTGAGCGGGGCAGGCGGGAGGGCGAGCGCACACATCTCACCTCCACACGCCCAGAGACTCGCCGGTTAGAGGGACCGACACACGCCATTCGCCACTGCCCTACGGTTACCTGACGCATCGGCCCCGGGCAGAAGGCAAAGCACACACAGGCCCACTCCCACCCGCCTCCTTTCCAGACGGGCTCTACGCTCCTCGAGGGATCGTCCCACCGATGTTAAAACTGGACGCGAGATACGTTCGACCGACCACGCGGGACGATGTCTACGATGTGAGCGCGACAAAGGGTCACACGGGGGTGTGGACTCTACAATCCAGCTTTTATAAACGTCAACTCTAAAGGGTACGCACCACCCACTATTCAGACACCATGGGCCCTGGCTGGTGTGGCTCAGTGGATAGAGCGTCGGCCTGTGGACCGAAGGGTCCCAGGATCGATTCTGGTCCAGGGCACATACCTCGGCTGCAGGCTCCTCCCCAGCCCAGGCCCTGGTTGGGGCACATGCAGGAGGCAACCAAACAATGTGTTTCTCTCACATCGATGTTTCTGTCTCTCCCTCTCTCTTCCACTCTCCCTAAAATTCAATGGAAAAATACCCTCGGGTGAGGATTAAAAAAATAATATTTTTTTAAAAAGACATCACAGTGGCCTTGGTGGTGGGATTTCGGGAGCTGCTGACTTTCTCCTCTGTATTGGCATTGAGTCCTGTCCAATTGCTTTCAATGAGCATGAATTATTCATGGACTAAAAAGTCATACAGAAATGAGGACACAAACGAATGAACATGCGGTATCAACATGCTAAGTACATGTACCCTGATAGCATGATGGTCTTCAAATGCAAAACACACAGCTGCAGGAGAGGAAAACAGAGAGAAGTTGAAAGAGCAGCAAAACCAACGCAACAAACACCGTCTAAAGGCAAATGGCAGGAAACACATGAGAAATTATCTCCCAAAGATGCTGCCGCTGGCCGATGGCTCGGTGACGAGACCCTCGCTGGAGCCATCCTGGCTCAGACGGGCCGGGCAGAACACGGCATGCTACGGTGACGAGACCCTCGCTGGAGCCATCCTGGCTCAGAACTCGGCATGCTGGGTAACACAGGAGGAGCCAGAGAACCATGGAGACTCACATGGGAAAGGCCACTGACCTCGCGTTCGCCCCAACCGGGGCCCAAATTTCATAGGTCGTGGTCAACGAAAAATCGATGGGTCTTTTGCCCAGAAACTAAACCTAAAATATGTGGATATAACTTCATCTTATGTTTGACAACATTTATAATCACTCGATAGTATTCAGAATGCATGAATGAATCAAACTAATTCTTGCGGGTAGGGGGCGGGAATTTCCCCAATGGGATGGCAACATTCCTTAATTCCTATCAACTTTCCCGCACAGTCAAAAAAAAGAGGGTCACTGTTGCAAATCCTCTGAGGGTTTCATCAGTTTCCCGGAGAGGTTCCTTTTGGAAAGCACCCGACTTCCTCTCCTCCGATCCCATCGGTGCTGGTGCGAACTCACAAACCTCCACTCGTCGACAGCACGGATGGGATTGGATGGCGCTTCGACACCGTGCGCATGAAACCCGCCTCTTTGCCAGGTCTGGCCCCGACAGGGCAGCCGATTCGCACTGTATCGTCCAATGTATGACATCCGACAATCGGGGAGACCGACAGACAAAGCCGGCGAAGCGATGGCAGGGAGAGGGCCAGGGTTAGGCGAGGGGCGTCTGCATGGGGTTAATCACACAAGCGTTGGGCCTGCGAGTGACTGTCCTCCCTTCCCGACCACCTCCGCTGTCCCGGGCGGTCTCCTAACGCCAGGGACTCAGACAAGAACGCAGTCGACGCTGAGGACCCGTTAGCCCCTGGCCACGTCTTCCTAACAAGCAGCACCTGCCCTTCTGAGTTTTATTTTACTCTCCAAGAACATGCTTACTATTCCCTCCTCAGAGGCGCACGGTCCCCAGGCTTCGGAAAGAAACCTGCAAACCTACGAGTAGCCTTTAAAGACCGCGACTGTGGGGAGCTCTCCCCTCGCCGGCAGCTCCCCTCCTGGTCGCCCGTCTGTCCGTGGGCCTCGCACTGCGCTCACTGCACCGCCTCCCCCTCCGCCCATCTGGGCCTTCCTCTGGCTCCAGAAGCACAGCTGGGTGCGGGCCGCCCTGCCAGGCAGGCTGGCTTCCCGCCGGCATTACCTGCAGCCTCTCGATGATGTTGCGGTAGTCCCTGGAGGCGGCCAGCACCGAGT